TTTATAGGTTTATTAAGATGACCGACCGTAAAAAAACACACATTGAGCATCCCAAAAAAAAGGACGACAATTCATAATGGTATAATTATTTAATGGCAAAAAATGTGGTATCATAAGGTGAGTTCGGGATTGCGGTTTGGTGTAAGTGTAGTGCGGTGTAGTGTTGGAGTAGGGAGTTAAAAGTGCATTCGCAAGAGAAACCTATGATTCGCAACCCGAACGCTTCGGTGTTTTTATGGTGTGATATTTGACAGATTCATAACCATAGATAAATAACTTAACCTTAAAAGATTGCAATGAATTATAATGTTTCCCTGCGTATCTTGCACAGGGCAATAGGTTTTCTTTGAAATTTCTTCCATTATAACAGATTATAGCAAAATTATGTAGGTATCACCGTTGTTATTATCACAGAATTGTTAACAATTGTAACTTTCAATTTGTAAGGTTAAAACCATAGAACAACACCTGTTGTTGTGTTGTTCCATGGGTAAAACTTTTAATTCAAAAATGTAATACCTACCTAAAGCGCATGCCCGCACCAAAGCCCTAGCTCACAAGTCGGGGCGTTTGGTGCAAACACCGTTCACACCACACTAAAATACCCGAACGCAATTACAATCACACTTTTTACATTAATTGCATACCCGAACTGCTAAGTGCGCACGGTGTGAACGGTGTAGCAATCCCGAACTCACCTATAATAGCGACTAAAGGAGGTTCTACAAAGGGTCTTCATGTACATTTTAATTCGAAACACAGACAATTTCAAGAGAAGGTTACTGAAGCTTCATCCTCAAAAATAACTGTAAGCGACAAAGATATTAACAGCGAAATTAATCAACATGAACCTGATACATCAGATGAATCAGCTCCGCCTAAAAAGCAAAGTAAAATTTTTGATTACTTTGCTTCCCCTAATGAAAATTCACTGGATGCTGTCCTTGCCAGAATGACTGCTCTTGATGGTTTACCATTTAGAGTTTTTGTTACATCAGTTGATCTAAGAAAAGCACTTATGGCTAGGGGATTCCCTGATATACCAAATTCCTCAACAACGATTCGTGAAAGAGTGATAGCATATCAAAAAAGATAGTTAACCACTATATTTTGGAGTTTGAAAAAATTAAAAAACAAGGACATTATTTCAGTGTAACTCTAGATGAGTGGACCTCAAGTGCTAATATAAGATATATGAATGTAAACATTCACGGTTTGAATGGAAGGGTATGGAATGTTGGATTGATACGCATTTTGGATTCCATGCCAGCAGAAAATGGGTGTTAGTTTATTAACACAAAGGTTAAAAAAATTTGATCTAAATTTAGATAATGATATTATTTCCATAACAACAGATGGAGCCAGTGTAATGAAAAAAATGGGGAGACTAATAAAATGTAATCAGCAGCTGTGTTTTGCACATGGAATTGACCATATGCAAGGAATGCGGTCGATGTTGCCAATGGTAAAAAAATAAAATTCCCTATTGGGAACATTCAATTATATTACGTTGGCTACACTGAAATTTTGAATTTCCCGCACAAACTGACATACATTCTAGGAGTTCCCAGAGATAAAGAAGGTAGTTCCAATGTTGTATAATAAATTAAGGTGCGAATTTCAAATGTGGGATTTATTATTATTTATTATTATTAAAAAAAAAGATGGAAATTAATTTAGTTTGTGCGGGAAATTCAAATTTTCAATGTAGCCAACGGAATATATAGTAAATTTAAAAGTAAACTACGTACACGTCATCAATCAGCTGATCGGGCACGGTTGTCAATGTGATGCTAAAATCCTTGCATCAGAGGAAAGTGGTAGTGCAACTACAGGGCGATAGATGGCGTTTACATGAATAATACTAAAATGTCAAAAGTCTGAGTTTTTATAACCTATATGATGCACCGCCAAAAGTATGTTTTTAGCCATTTTTAAAGACATTTTCTGATATAAAACCCAAAAATTTTGCCATCTAAAGTCAGTCTTTGGTATATATATTATTATTTTATGTATCCAACATATATTTTGTTAAATATTCTAATATATAATTAATAATAATCCTATTTACCTCTCTAACAGCTGTTAAAGGTAACAAAGGTCCATTATTATCCCGTTCTGCCTCAAAATAGCGTATTAAGGATGACACAAACTCTTGACTCCGACTATTTAAATGCTTCGGCATTTTAAATATAGGAAACACAAAAAAACGATATATAACAAACACAAAAACGGCAATGAAAACTTAAACGATATAAAATAACACAAACAACAAACAAAATAAACGAAATAATACACGAATTAGACGAAATATTCAAAAACACAACTGACAGCTTTGAAATTCTAAAACGTCAAATTCTTTTTTATGTGTCATTTAAATATGAAAAATTTGAATGTAAACATGACAACATCGCAATTGTTGCCAACATAATTTGGTTAAAATGCATTCAAATATTCAATTACAGACTTCGATTTAGTCATTTAGTGTTGGTACCAGTGCGCAAATTTATGACGTCATCGATGACGTGTACGTAGTTTACTTTTAAATTTACTATAGTCACGGCCAAATCTGTATGGGTGCACGTCATCAACGGCATATGACGTCAGCGTTAAGGTCTATTCATACGTGCCCAGACACAATCTAACGCTCGTGTATTGTTGACTGTTTATAGCGGTGGGGTCTGTTATTAAGATGGAATTATAACGTCCTTGTTATAATCTTCTGCACTAACTAATTAGGAGTTTGTTACAGGCAAATTTTTATTAAATGTGTTTAAAGAGAAAACAAACGGAGTTTATTACATTTTTATTACATATGCACATAACAAAAAAATTCTAAATTATCAGAAACACAAAATATATAAATTACCAGTCGTCCTTGTCATCAGAGCAAACCAGGTCAGAATTAAAGTCTGATTATTTCCCCAAATTTATTATTAAGGGCGCAATGTCTTCGAAATCTAATAACGGCTAGTTGCCAACAAGCCTTATATCATTGTTTGCACAATCCAGGGATAGAATCTTATAAACATAATGTATAATATTATTTATAATAATTTGCAACAAACGATGCTTCCGGACGAAATGTCACAATTACAAAAATACGTCAAATATAAAATGACAGCGACCCATCAATAATATTGAACGGTTCGCGCCAGCCTTAAGCTATTACCAACTGGCACACACAAAAATTACTAAGTGAATGGTTTTATTTTGATAATTTCGTGAAAAAACGTTTTAAAACCAGGAAATTGTTACAGTTCTTGGTAAACAATACGCAAATGAATGATTTCTTTTTAATAACACATCAGAATTACGCCTTAAAAAAGCAAATTTAACGGCAGTAACTTTACAATTCAAAGTTGGTAATGCTGACGTCATTATATCTCATTGATGACGTGCACCCATATAGATTTATATATAATTGAATGTTCCCAATAAGGAATTTTATTTTTTTACCATTGGCAACATCGACCGCATTCCTTGCATATGGTCAATTCACCTGGGTGTATTGGATGTATAATGCTGGAAATGTGGGGATACAACGTAAAGAGGAAGATTCGCCAGAGACTGAAAGTAATTCCACTGAAAATGATGAGGACAGAAATAGTGAAGCAGGTGGCATGGAAATTATGAATGAGTTAGAACCAGAAAATCAACTTCAAATGACAACACATCAAGATATTGATTTTATTGTCAAAAAAGTCCGAAAAGTGGTTAAGATATTTCGACGTTCTCCTACCAAAAATCCAATTTTACAAACGTATGTAAAGGAAAAACATGGGAAAGAACTTTCTCTTGTTTTAGACTGTAAAACAAGATGGAATAGCCTCGTTAATATGCTGGAACGTTTCGTTTTGTTAAAGGATTGTATTCAGAAGAGTTTAATTGATCTAAACAGTCCCGTTATTATAAATGACAGTGAATTTCAAATAATGAGAGATATCATACAATGTCTTGAACCTGTTAAATTGACGGTGGAAGCCATTTGTAGAAAAGACGCCAACTTGTGTACGGCTGATGCGAGCTTTAAATTTTTATTTGACGAACCTAAACTACTAAATACACCACTTAGTAAAGAATTTCAAGAAGCGCTTAGAAATCGTATAAATGAACGTCGAACCATAATGTCTGGTGTTATTTCCTACCTACAAAATCCCAACAACTATCATACAAGCAATATATTCGAAAACCCAAATTCTGAAGTAATTTGTCAAAAATATATCAGAAAATTTCAAAAAAACTATTACTCTAGATTCGGAATCTGAGGATGAAGACATGCCTCTGTTTGAACATATAAAAAAGTCAACAGACCATTTAACTGAAAAAAACTTCAAGATGCCATAGGCTCTGTAACTACTAAAATTAAACCTACTTGGCAAAACACTAAAAATCCAAAATGTCGTCTTAACACCCTAAATGTTATTAAAAAAGAAATGACACTTTATGAAAATGGAGGATTAAGAGGTTTATATTTGCAGCAGTGTTACGAATATTTACTTACAGTACCACCTACAAGTGTGGAAGCTGAGAGAGCCTTTTCTTCGGCGTTCACATTTGCGACCAAACTTATATCGCGCTTAAGTGACTCAACCTTAGACACGTTGGTGTTTTTAAGAGCATATTTTATTTTTACTAAGCAAAACGTAAATGTTTAATGTACTTTGTTTTAAGAATAGCTTATTTTATATTTACAAATCGTAAATGTATAAGAATTGTTTTTATTTTTTTTGTGTATGTCTGCATTTTTATTAATTTTGTTGCTACTGTTGGATAAATAAAAACATTATTAATGTTAATCCCGGGATCCCGGGATTTGTTTATTTTTATCCCGAGATCCAAAAACGGGATCCCGATCCCGAAAATTGGAAACCCTAGTCACAAGTCGTACTGACTTCAAATACTGTTTTATACAATATTTATTTATGTTTTAATGTACAGTGTTCGTTTATGTAAAGTTTATATAAAATGTAAAAATAAATGTAAAACGTTTTACTTACATGATTAAACCTTTTTGTAAAAGCCACAACATTGGGTGCAATGGTAAGCTTATTCTTTTTATACCATGCACAGCTTGTCAGCTCATCAGGCTGTATGGCAAGAAAAACCGGAAGGTCCAGCATGGTAAGCTGCCTGGCAAAGTCTTCAGCAGGTATTCTGAGAATGTCAAAAATAGCACAACTGTAGCTTTTATTAATACTTTGGGAAGTGTGACAAGGTAGACTCTGAGTTTTGATATGTGCAGGTATTGAAGTAAAATAGTTTCTGAAAAAAAGAAGTAGAAGCACCCTGTGTAAGTCTAACCACCAAAGAAATTATTAATATACTTTTTATGCTCTTAAGATAAAATAAATACCATGCATTTTATACTTTTATTTACAATAGTATGGTTAGCCACCTTATACTATACCTATGTAAATGTAAAAGCTTTTTTTAACGAAATTAGTGTATATACAAGTCTTAAAATTTTATTATTTAGTAAAAGGTAAAATTTGTTTTTAAGGCGAAATGTTTATCAATAGTTTTTAAAATTACTCCCTCTAAAATGAGTTTTATCGGTTTAAGCGTTTTCTGAATTTTTAATTTAACTTTTCGTTTTATAGTACAATTTCCTTTGCAATATTCATTTCCATATTGTTTTTAGTTTACAAATTATAGGGTTTTAAGACTTATTGTGTGTGTTTAATTAAATACAAATCTTACCCATAACCAATAGAGGCGTATGGTGTTCCTGGACCTTGACTGGATATCGTAGGGGACGATATTTTTCTGACACGTCCATCTTTAAGTTTTGTATTACAGCCTCTTGACGATAATGTGATTGACTCATTACTCCCTGATGTCTTGTAGCTTTTGCATTCCGAACTCTAAAAATAATACAATTTATTTATTAAAATGTTAATGATAGTTGTTTAATATAGTTTTTACCCCCGATATTTTACTGGTCGTATCTCCTAAAATATTTTTTGGAATCTCGGAATACCGCAACATGTTCATGTCATGACCGTAATGTAGTTTCTGAAACTAATAAATAAAATTACCATTTTTACAAGGTTTTTTATACTATATATAGGGTGTCCGGGAAAATGTGGAAAATATCTCGGATTCAGATAGAACATTAAAAAATAAGATGAAACGTTCCTATAATTTTTTTCCCTACTGGCCCTCCTTACGGAGACATGGACCCCGAAAGGACTCCCCTGCAAATTGGTTTTCCTTGAATAAATTTTAAAGTACTAAATATAATTTAATAAAAATTTATTATGATGGACCCTGGTAGGGATCTCTTAAAATAGTGTCATTGAAACATGTTTTGCTTTTTTGTTTACCAGGGGCGGACTAAGTTTTACTTTTTAATGCTTAAATTTTGAACACCCCATATGACAAAGACTTAAAAAAACTAAATCTGCATAGCTTGAACCTTAAAATAAAATAAAGGTACTCTTGTTTATTGTCAATAAAATGAACCGTTTTCGAGAAAAAGAATAATAAACGAATTCATGTTTTATTTTTAATAAAAATACCATAAAAAATAATATAACGTATTGTTGCAAACCTTAAATTGAAGGACGACAATTCGAAACAATTAATTAAAAACTTTATAAAAGGGTTCAACATGGGCTCCGTGAACTCTGATACACAATAACCCAGAATTGTTTCCTATCATATCACAATGAAACGTGGATTTGGATTTGGATGCAGCAAATAAAAAATATACTTTTAAAATATAAACCAAAAAATTGATTTTTTTGGAGGACACATTTTTTGGTGAAAAATGTGTCCTTCTTCAGCTCCCGGTAAAGGTGGCAACCCTAATTTGTCTGTCAGACAGAATTTGATATCCTTTTATTTTCCCTTTTTAATGAGGGAGAATGATTTCAGGAGAATAAACTAATTAAATATTAACACGATGACAGTTTCATAAAATATAGTCTCTTTTGGTATAAGGGTGTTATTTACCAACTTGTTTTTTTTGTTTGCAGCGCCCCCTAAATTTTTAGTTTATGACCTAAAAAAATTATTAAAAAAATTATAAAAAAAATATTCATATTAAACCGTGCCACAAAGACGATACATTTTCCATTTAAATAACATGGGGTTTCGGCAAGTTTAACATTTAAATTTTTTTCTCCCGAGCAAGTTAATATACGGGCGTTTCTCTGTAAACTGGGCAACTTGAAGTAAGAAATTGTCTAGGCAAGTTTTTTTGTTATATTTTTGTTGTATTTAATAAATGTTTTTCGAGGAATAAATATCGGTCTATTTATTAGTATACGGCAGATAAACCAAAAATATTCCTATTACTTTGGAAAACATTGAGCATTTTCTGAAAAATCTATACAGGGGACTGTTTATAAAATCCGGAGACAAAGTTTAGATGACTTTTTTAGAATTACAAAATAATAATTATAAAAAATAAATAAGTCACAGTAACAAGCAAACAATATTGGTTGAATAATTAAACAATTAGGTTGATTCCAATAGTTACTGTCTTTAATTAATTTAGTCTGAAGTGACCATTTTGCTTTGGTGACACGTCAGGGGACTGGTTTTTAAGGACTATAAAAACGATTTTGATACATTAAAGTTTATTTTATTGGATTTTGAACGTCGAGCATAGGTAGATTAGGTTATTATCTTTTGAAGTTATCTACGAAATATTTATGATCTGTTATTTTTCTAAACAATTTTAGCTTGAGACAATGAGTTGCCCAGTTTACAGAGAAACGCCCATACAGCAATAAGAGACACAAATTTTTATAAGAAATTTAACGCTGTACAAAAAAGCTTTCTTATAATTTTTTCATAAATTCACTGATTTAAAAGTTATTTAAGGTTAAAGTTAAACGATTTTTTACTTTGACCGCAAAAATATAATTATTTTTGTGAAAATGAAATGTTTATTTTTGAAAATATGTGATTTTAGTGTAGGTATTATTAATAAAAATTATTAAAATGAGATAAGTTAAAATTATTGACAAGAGATTCCGATAAATTCAATTTTTTTATTACATTAAACGAATCTGCAGATTCATGGTACTAGTTTTACTCAATTTAGTACGATTACTTTTTTACGTAATCTTTTTATTTCTGTGAAATTCTATAAAATTTTATAAGAGTATGAGTATGAGTATAAGAGACGTATAACCAGCCCCATTTCCTCTTGACTCTCGAACCCCGTACAGGCCTATGTTTACTTACGCCGATTTTTGTTCTTCCCCAGCAACTGCACGGCTTCACCCGTGTTTGCTGGGTGCGAATGTCCATTGCGTTCCGTACTGTCCCCTATTTGGGGCTCGAGAGCGAGAGGCGAATAGTTATAATAGCCATTCCCGGGTTCGCCGAGCCTATGCTATACGCTCAGTGGGGTATGGAGGAGGGACGGGAGGGTGTTGGTTTTTGGGGGACAATTACGCCGACTTAAAACTAAGTACGACGCGGAATCCCCCTAGACCAGTCGATTAGTATTACTCCAAACATTTGGGATTACTATTTGGAGTTGGGGAGTTGTTATTTCGCTGCAGGGGTGTAGTCTCCTAGTCGAGGTCTTTGACTTGTTCGTTATTGTCATTGTCCGTGTCCTGGTCAGATAGTTCCTGCCCTTGGTAAAGTGTGTCAGTTGTTTTTAATAATTTTTGTCCCAAGGACGTTTTGTGGTAGAGTTCCGTCTTTGTTTATCAAATTCTAAAGCATTGCATTTATTCACTAGTCAAACAAATCACAAGCGCGATTATTCTGTTGTCTAATGTTTACGAATCTCGAGTTTGGCTATTAGGCCCTTTTTTTTAATGTGTTAGAATTATGTGATCAATGTTAGTTTACTCTGTCAGTCCAGTGTTTATTTTCGGTCTCGATTGGGACCGCCTTACGCATTTGCTGTTGACAGACTTATTGCCCCACACTGCGTGCCCTTCATAGGTTTTAAAGATATCCCAATAAACACTTTAACGATACCTATCACCATTAACATTGCCCGTGTAAGAATTTTTAACACTTTTTAATACAATTTTGCAATGATAGTAATTAAAAACAAAACAATTGTTTAAAGAGTAAAATATGATCTTAACATAATCATATTTTAAAGTTATTTTAACATTTCAAGTAAAATAATGTTATGTTTAATAAAATGAATACGGGCAATGTTAATGGTGACAAATACTTTTTTTTCAAATTTAATTTAAAACTAGCTTAATACAAAATAAATAGCCGGCCCTGTGGTGCATCGCATTAAAATCTGAAACGGCCCCGGTATCAGGCGTGTAACGTATGCTTCAATAGATGGTTTATTTACGTTATGTTATTGCGTGGGCGCTTTGTTTATTTACCTTCCTTCAAGCTTTGCCTTGTTGCTGAGTTGCAAGTCGCGTATATTATACAATATATATAATACAATAATATAATATTGCGACGTTCCTGCTTGATTCCTTTTCGCACACTTACGCTGTTTTCGGCAATGGTTAATTGTTGCCAGTTTTTTTTACAGATTTGCGTATTAGGTCATGCAATAATACTTATCAGAGTCGGCTGGTGATGGTGATGGTGATGATCCCTTTCGCTCTTTGTTAGACTTGTTTTTTTCTTTAAATAGGTGATTCCTTGACCTGTCCCCTGTCACTTTATTACTTCGTGTCCGCACGAACCTCACTCCTATGTTCACCGTTGAGAGATTGCCTTTTGAGGAATTATTTAATGTTTCTATTAACCCCTCGGAGAACAGGTACCCTGATTTCACCTGTACCGTTATGTATACATACTATAGTCATCCAAATAGTATACTATATGTATGCTATAGCACTGTTTCGCACCGTACTTTACTCGACTACACTGTATATAATAGTTATGTTTCTTTAAGAATTTTATTGTGGATCGGCACCGAGCGCTCGAACATCCGCTCGCTTCGCCGGTATCGACAGTACTGGATTCTATAAAATTTTATAAGATTTTATAAAATATTATACAATAAAAAGTTTTCCTTCAGTACAGATAATGACATAGAAATTCTTGTAACAATTATTTTTACGACAAAATAAAATTCGCAGTTACGCATACGTTGTCTTGAGTATGAGATGCAGACATTTCCGCTACACCAATTATCCTTTTCAAATAAGATAAATGTATTTTTCTACTCCCACCTTTAAAACGCCCTTTATCGTACATGTTTCCAGACACTAAGTGACCTTTTAAATACACATTGACAAGTTGTGGCTTTACGGCGCTTTAGTCACGGCCTGAAGTTAGCAACAGGTTTTTAGTCACGGGCTGAAGTTAGTTTTAAGTTAGTTGACAGTTGTAAAATGTCATACAATCGTTAAAATAAAGTGCCTTTCTTGTAAAATAATACTAAATGTGAAAATTATTTTATTATCTCAATACAAAAATACAAAAATTTTAAATAGTTTCCTAACGCCAATATTTGAAAAGTTTATATGAACATTGTACTGACCTTTTAATTTCGCCGGCAGTAAACTTAAATTCGGGCACGGACTCTACTGTAAAGTCCTCATAGAACATTTCCCTTACTTTCACTGTGAAAAACTGTCAATTTTCAATATACATTTCGATTTATAACCTTTATAATTGTGTTTATAAAATGTAAAAATGTGACATTTGACAGTTTCCCCTGTTGTTTCATAGATGGCGCTCTATACAAATTTTTGATTTAAATCATTTTAAGATAATAATAAGTATTTGTCGTAGAAAAAGTGTAGTATGCACCTCGTTTATAAACTTTTCTATACACTCATTAACTTAAGCACTCGCTCGCAAGCTCGCTCGTGCTTAAATTAAATTCGTGTATAAAATGGCGTTTATCAAACTTGATACATAATATACTATTATCTACTTCTACATTGACGAGCTGTGACTTTAGGAGCTTTAGTCACGGGCTGAAGTTGGCAATAAGTAGTGGCTTTTGGCCATTGTAGTCGAGGGGCTAAAATTAGCTTTATTATAATATAATAAAGCTATATATATACACTTCGCGTCAAATTTAACGCACCACTAAAAATTTGCCACAA